GGGGGGAGGCAGGAGGCCCGATGTCTGCAGTCAGCCTGAGAAAATGGTGGGCAGCCCTGCAAGCTGCCTGAGAAAATCAGCCGGCTGCCTCCTCAATTTGAGTAGACCCCTATTAATAAGCAGGGATCCTGGTTTTCTCCAATTTAAAAAATCCCCAATTTATATATATAGTCTCATCCCAACTTTTAAACCACAAGTAAAGCCATCCATACCTTCGTTATTAGAGGTATTTTCTGCCATTGGGGCTGTACTACTAGTTCCTGCTGCCATATCCAGAAGAGGCTGAATGATCTCTATTTTAAACACTCCATTTTTCTGCCAAAGGTTCAGAACACGAACTATCTTACTCTGTACAAATGAAAGAGAGTCAATGTAGAACAAAATATTCCAAAACAAACTCTAAATTTAGCTCTTGCACACAGGAAAGGGGATAGTGGTATAGCAGTCTACAGATAAACAAAGCTTAAATCTCTTGTTGTGTGGGTTAGCTGTACACCTCAAGCACAGTGAAGGTATCATACTACTAAGTTGGGTTTTTTTGTGTTTTTTGTTTTTAAACAAGAACAGCAGCTTCTTGTGTCATTGCATCTTGTGACCTTCAGTCAGCCAAAAGAGCAGCACTGATAGACAAAGGAACTGCATCCCTATTTCAAGATGCATGTCATTTCAAGGGAAGGTTAAAGAAGGGAAAGTTAGTGACAGTCAAGCAAAGGTAGGAAAGATCAAGAAAACAAAAAATGCAGAAAAGTGGTGGCAAATCTTGGAAAAAGGGGAAGCAAGAAGAAAAATGTCAGAACAATGTTTACAAAAAAAGAACAAAAAACTGTTTACTTGCATTTCTTTCAGCTACCAATTCAGTTACTTCTATGTTGGACTGGCAGCCAGAACTACCTCAGAAATCTCATCTGCATGATTTCTTGAAAGATTAGGAAAGTACGTGAGTATATCTTCCCTGTACCAATTAGACTACATTAACCTTGACTATCAGTGGCTATTTTAAGCTTGTTTCTTTATTCAAGATTTTAAAAAAGTAAAGTTTTCAAGAACAAAGATATTATTTCTACCTTTTTAAATGAAGAATTAAAAAAACCCAAACAAATAATATCCTTTTAACTCTTTGTGGTCATATTGTCAACCTGACGATATGACTACATCAAACAGCATCTTCTCAGTATATCTGAGCACTGAGCGTACACAGTTCCATCTCACCAACAAGTTAACTTCTTTTTACTTGTTGCTGCAACAATTTAGGCTATGTACACACATTCAAATAATGTGGTAAAACTCTCCCATCTTTGTTCTCCTGGTAGAGAAACGTACCCAGAGTTGTGTGTACAGACATTTGAGTTTTGGGGCCCTGCTGACATTGTGCAACTGAGGATTGGTGGGGGGCACACACTGCACACATCTGTGTGCTCTCCAGGCTCCCTTACAATGCCTGGCAACAGATGGCAGTTGTGTATGGGGTAGCCCTACTGGCCAACCTAGACTGCCTTTGGTCAGCCTGTGCTTCCTTGCAGCACAATGCAGGGACTGCGATACGGGTATGTTCTGCTCTCTTCCAGATCAGCAAAAGTCCAGTGAGTGACACACTGTTTCCCTGCAGAGAAAAGGGGGTGCTAGAGGACTATATTCTCTTCTCAGAAAAGCCATAACATGTACAGACATTTGCTCTCCCAGGAGAAGCTCTCCTGGGAGTGATTTAACCCTCATGTTCCAAGGTTATTTTTTTCTCTTACAGCAGCCATTTTTACTCTGGGGGAAAAAAAGCCTGAATATCTGTACACTTGTGCTTTCTCCTGGGAGAGGTGCTGCTCCCCTAGGAGAAACTGAATGTCTGTAAAAGGCCTTATAAGTCAATTCTCTTTCTCCTTCTTCCACCAATTCATAACCAATTGCCTGCCAAGATCCTGTCACTTACACCTATATAAACACATTCAGAAGGACACCTGTGCAAGTCTGACAGCAGCAAAGTTGCACTGTAAAACTTCCATGAAAAAGTTACTGCAAGGGGAATCCCCCAATGGCTAATTTGGTGTTCTGTCCTCAAAAGAAGAAATAAGCCATAACAGTACAGGGTTTTGGCTTTCCTTTTTAGAGGTCTTTGAAATGTCCTTTGTTTTCAGTATTCAGGTAAGCGTAAAAAAAGCAAAAAACAAAAACACAAAAAAAATCCACACCACATTTTGTCATCACATACTCATTTTGTAGAAAATGTTGAGCAAAAGAAATGCTACTATACTTTCTTCTGATCCTGGCTATACTTAATTTCTAACTTCAAACATGTTTCTTACTTTGTAGAATTCCAGTATTGTGCATTGGGGTGGCAAATTTGTGGCACAGACTAACTCTGGGTATAGCACATGGCAGATCAAGGAGGGTACTGGCAGCACAGTGGCAGATAGGGCAGGGAGCAGAAAGCACAGCAGATCAGGCAAGAATCACACCATAAGCAGCAGAAAGCAGAGCAACATATGAAGCAGGGAGGACAGGGCAAGAAGCAGAGAGCAGAGTGGCACATAGTGCAGAGAAAGAAAATGGAGTGGCGCTCAGAGGGCACAAGACAATATGTGGCATGCCTACCAAAAAGACTGACCCCCACTGTTTATATGATAAAACATTCTATGTAACCTACTGCAGACTACACTACTATATGAAACTAAGTGTAGTGAAATAGGATTACTTCTCTTAATCACTGAAACATACTCCTTTTAACACTACAGCTACCAGGTAGCTGTATGCTTGAATGCTCAGAGCAAGCAGTCAAAGAATCTTTTCAGGGACTGTCAGTCAAGGATGCATGTATTCAATGAGCCCACCCCTCTACTGGAATAAGAATAAAAAAAGCCCACCCCATCACCCCTACTTCAAGGAGCATGAAATAAAGATGAGCTATTAAATGAAAGAGGAGCAAAAGGAAGTCAGTGTAGCACTATGGAGAAAATATCTTAGAAGAATAGGTTATAAGAATGTGCCCCTTTCAGTCATTTATAAAGGTCCACAGAGAAACAGTGCAAGTGGTTACACCTAGCACTGATCTTCCAAAGGCGATAGGATAGAGAGCCCTATTAGAAACTGAAAAGACATCCTTCTGAATCAAGAGACTGGTCTGCAAAGGTGGAAACAGAGCACCGCACTGCAGCTGAATCTTGACAAACAAATAAACACTGAAATGAGCTCTAGACCATTCCTAGGAAGGCAACAGCATAAAAAGACTCATTTCCAGTCTAATACACTTAGACCAGTAGTGCCCAACCTTTTTCCCCCTTGGATGGATAGCGCTCAGTTAGCTTGCAGGTTGGATCTGACTGGTGGACCCCACCCAAGAAGCAAGGCAGTGCGAGGGGCCTGATTCAGCCACGTAGGGGGAGCTGAGAAGCAGCCCAGGCCCGACCGGGCTCATGGGGGAGGGGAGCAGAAGGGGGCATGGCTCAGCCCCAATCCAATCTCGACAGATCTGGGAATTTGGAGGGGTGGAATTATTACTTGTTGCTGGGAAATTTGGTGGCAGGGGAGTAATCTGTGGAAAGCCCTGCAGGCTGATGCCATGGGTCTATAGGCCAAAGGTTGAGCACCCCTGACTTAGACAATTTCTGAATTGTAACAACTGGTCTGAAGCTGGATTTCCCCCTAACAACTGAAAGTTCTTTCTGACATCCAGACAGCACAATGTGATTGGGCAGAACCACTGTATGAATTTGGGAAAGAGTATGACACTGACTAATTAGATCAAATTAAAATCTGAGATTAAATTAAATTAAAAACTCTTGTGAAACCTTATTACAATGTTGCCCTTGTGTGAAAACTGCTTTGTGTGAATCAGGTACCACAGCCTTCAAATCAAATCCTCATGGTCAACGTGAAGAATACCAGGAGACAACAAATGAGGATTTTGCTGTCTGTTCCACAAAGGATCTTCAATAAATTTAGAGAACATCAAATTCAAACTTCAGGCTTCCAGAAGGGCAGTAAAGCCTTCCAAAGCTTTATCCACTGGGTAAAGCCCATTTACCTAATGGACGGTGAAACCTGATCTTCCAGAAGAAACACAGCTAGGAGAAAAAAAGCAAATTACATAATTTTTAGTAGTTGCCAAAGATGGTTTCAATTGCATTAGGAGAGAGGATTTCCAAAACATAGGCCCTGCCTTAGGTACCTTTTGAAATGGTTTCATAATTTCATAGTTAGTAGGATCGGAAGGGACCTGAGCAGATCATCAAGTCCGACCCCCCGCCATGGCTTATAAAAGGGCAGCACAGAAAGAGAACACCTTGTACGGATAGGGAATGACTGCAGGCAGACCTGGACAGATTAGAAAAGTGGGCAGTACACAATAGGGTGCAGTACAACAAGGACAAGTACCGAGTGCTGCACCTAGGGCACAAAAATATCCAGCACATCTACTGGCTGGGAAGTGACCCTCCCAGCAGCACAGAAGCAGAAAGGGATCTTGGAATCATAGTGGACTCCAAGATGAACATGAGTCATCAGTGTGACAAAAACATCAGCAAAACTAACCACACTTTATCATGCATCAGCAGATGCATGACGGATAGGATCCAAGGAGGTGATACTTCCCCTCTATACAGCATTGGTCAAACCACAGTTGGAGTACTGCGTCCAGTTTTGGGTGCCGTACTTCAAGAAGGATGTTGATAGACGAGAGGAGGACCACTCGTATGGTTAGGGGTTTACCGGACAAGCCCTATGAGGAGAGACTGAGGGACCTGGACCTCTTCAGCCTCTGCAAGAGAAAACTGAGAGGTGATCTTGTGGCTGCCTACAAATTCATTAGGGGGATGCAGCAAGGGATCGGAGATGCTCTGTTCACCAGGGCGCCTCTCGGGGTAACAAGGAACAATGGTCACAATTGACAGAGCAGATTTAGGCTAGATATCAAGAGAAACTGCGTCCTGGCAAGGGTGGCCAAAATTTGGAATGAGCTTCCAAGGGAGGTGGTGCTCTCCCCTACCTTGGGGGTCTTTAAGAGAAGGCTGGATAGGCATCTGGCTGGGATCATCTGACCCCAGCACTCTTTCCTGCCTAGGCAGGGGATCAGACCCAATGATCTGTTGGAGTCCCTTCCCAACCCTAGCATCTATATGAACCTAGTAACAATTGTGGTCCATCATGAATCAGGGATTTCTACAAACATGCACAGAGAACTCAGAGGTTGGGTCCTAAGAACTAAGGGTGGGAATTAGGTTTCTTAGAGACTATGAAATACTTGATTTGTGAGGTTGCAGGGGTCAAATGCAGGTTACAGACCACATTTTTTCCTTAAAAATAAAATAGGATTGAAGAGGTGTTATTAGCAGGAGGGACCCCAGCAATAACTCAATGGCTTCTATTTTTAAGAACATAAGGGCCTCCTTTCCCCAAGTCCTTCATCAGAAGGATCACTAAAAAGGAAGCAGTAGGTATACACTAACATGTATACCTAAAAAACCCCCCCAAAAAAACCAGTAACCAATTTAGACAAGATACTTTTGTTACCAGGACCTCCACTGAAATATCAGTGCTCAAACATATACCTTTGCAAGGAAGATTAATATGCATTAGAACAAAGACAGAAATTCAGTAAACTAGTTTTCATACAAGTAGGAGCATGTAAGATTTTAGCAATTCACAACATTTGAGAAGTTCTAGTTATACCTTGTCTTCAGATGGACAGAGGTATAAATACTGGAATGTGGCGGTTATATTTTTAGAGAATCTTGGCCCAAAAACATCCTTATCTGTTCCAAACTGGTGACGAGACTGACGAACAATAGAGTCAATAACATACAATCCAGGAACTTTGTATTCTGGTTTGCACTGAAAAAAAATAAAGGGTTCTCAGTTATGTTAGAGCAGTATATGTATTACTAACAAAGTAATTCCCTTATTCCTCAGTTCTTCAACAGGTTTCAGATTCTTAACCATCTTAAATCCCATACTTGAGAATTAACTCTGGGCCCAAAGAGAACTGTTACTTTGTCATTACAATAAAGCCCCACAAAAAATTGTTTCCAATCCTAATATACACAACAGTAATATATTACTGTTAACAAATACCTTGATGATCAGAAAAACTAAAGGAGTTTACTTTGAGTGGTAAAACACCACAATTACATTAAAAAACAAACTGCATGAAGCGAATAACTAAATGTGCTCAATCACGAACAGCAACCATAACATGCTGTCAATAGCTGAAATACAACTTATGGCAAATAAATGAAGTGTAATATATCTACACCCAAAGTACAGCAAGACTAAAAATCAATATTGTACTAATTACTATTTTTCTATGGTACACTAGAATGGTAATTATTCAATGAATAAGGATGATAAATATGGAAAAGAATCCTGTCCAACAGATACTGAAATTTTTAAATGCTTACCTTTTTGATAAATTTCTCTACAATCTGAACTACATGCTTGTAGAGCTGAAAAATAAAAATGTAATCCATTTAAATATCATCTGCTTTACAACAATGTATTTCAGAAGTATTATAATTCTTTGTACATATTAACAATTAGGAGAACTGAATATTTTCCAGTGACTACTAAAGAAGTAATGATGCTCTTAAGCAAGCATTCCTAAAAAAAAAAAATTTGCATAGAAAATGACTGCACTTGAAGTACCTTACAACACATATATAAGCAGCCAGAGGCAGAATAACTTTTGAAAACTGCTTTTTATTTGTGTTTTTTTGTTAAATTTCTAATAGGGTAGGATGTTGTTTCATTGCATAATATTTTGGTTCTCTCAGAGAAAAATCAAAATGGGGTTGTAATTCATATTATGATGGCAGTATCTCTAGAAAACCACAAGATAAAAGAATGTTCACCTATTTGTTTTCTTTGGGGGGCAAAAGTGAAAAACACCACAGATTAAAGCTTTATAGAGCTTAGTTAAAGATGTACTTTACAATAAATATACAGTGTAAAAGCTTATGCTACAGTTAGTTTGAATTTGTACATTTTACTTTACCTTAATAGCTTTAATGGCAGCTTTAGTAATGAGAATCATCTTTGCTCGGGAAATAGGTGGTTTCATCTCCATGAGTGAAAAGAGCTTAACAGAGAAAACAAGATAAACGTTACACACTGAAATAGAAGCAAGCAAATAGAGACAAGATTTCTCAAAACTTCCTGGCAACTGAAAAGCAACCAGACTGGTAATCTCAGGAGGCCTAAAAGTCAAGAATCTAACTTGAACAAAACAATTATTGGCTTTCTAGTCAACATCTGAAGTTGTACAATGAAATTATGATGGAAATTAAATAACTTGTGTCCAATGTGTGAATTTAGTAGCTATTGAAAACAGTGTGGCCAGAAAGTGGTATTTGTATTTCACATCACACAAGGAACTATTTTGTAGAAATGATTTGAAAGCAAGGGAATAAACTTAAGAGTTAATTAACCAGTTTACTGAAGCAAGACTACTCTAATGTAGCTGGGAGCCACACAGTGTGGATTGCAGAAAGGGCTCCAAGCTGTGTGAACAATTCCCCTCCACCCCGCTATGTGCAGTCTCACCCTGATCCCAACCATGTGCAGAGTAGGCAGCCCCTGCCCCTACCCCCAGTGCCATGTGTTGTGCAATCAACTCAACTCCTTCCCTTGCCACACACACACACAGTGAGAATAACCTGCCCCCTCCCCTTCTGCACAGGCAGAACAGGTACACCAGCTTCCTTGCTGTGCAGGCAGCTCCCACCTCTGCTGCCTGTGCAGAAGGGAAGGGGGACAGGTTACCCCATGTGCAGCCCAGCAGCTCAGCTCTCCACCCTCACACATGGATCAAGCAGCCCAGCCTCCTGCCCCACCAAACATATAGCATGAGCACCCCATTGCGCTGCCCCAGCCCCCATGAATGGGAGTGGGGCACAGCAGCAGCCTCCAGTGAGGGAGCTCAGAGTCGCTAACTGTTGCTGCATTAAAAACACTGAGGGGAGTGGCAGCTGGACAAGAGCCCATCGACCACATCAGACCCATAAGGCTCAATGTCCACCAACTGGACAGCCCCACTTTAGTGGATCCTATAGTCCAGTTGCATTTTTGGCATCCCAGAAAGGATTATGCATAACTATTACCACAAGTTTTTAACCATTACTGGGACTGCTAATCAATATTCCATCTCCAATTCTTCCTCTCATAGATAGGCATAGCAGCTTATAGTAAATACCTCAGTCAAATACCTAGTAAAATACCTAGTAAATACCTCTGTCAATACACCTGTAACAAGGATCACATGTTACCACATAAATAAACTATATCAATTACTTGGGAAATCCCACCCAAGAAGAGTGAAACCACCATTTTATCTTTCCTCTTTAAAAAGACAAAAAGTAAAAACTAATCTATTTCAAGGCCCTCCGGTCCATTAAAGTGAATGTTTGTTGCTCCTTCTTTCTGCAGACTCATTTTGCTACTTAAGCTGTTGCTTACTATAGACAAAAGTTTGAAACAGACACACTTCTTTTAATTAAAAAGCCTACAGATCCCAAAATACCACAAATACATAGTAAGAGAACGCATGATGTAGGCTACATAATTAGAAACCTACTGAAATCAAGGAGACAGGCAGGCAATTTCACAGACTGATCACAGCGCTTGCCACTATTTTCAAGCTTTTTTGCAGCAAGGCCTTGCCCACAATGCAACTGGTCAGTCAAGTGGCCCTGGAGGCAGCCCTGGCCCTCGCTGCTGATGAGCTGCCATTCATGAGCTTCCACCCCTCACCACTGACTGGTGGAGAAGGGCAAGCCCACGTGATGGGCAGCCCTCAGTCAGTCAGTAGCAAAGGGAGAAGAGGGTGGTAGTCATCTTGGCTTCCTTTCTGTGTGCCAGCAGCCATGAGTACTGGCTCACGCTGGGGAGCCAGCGTTTTATTTTCAGGAAGTTTTTTCTTCCCCTGGCAATTCTGCTAAAATCACACGGAACTCTCCTTTCTGCAGAAAATGCCTCAAATTATGGTTTCTGCAAAAAGCGTGATATCACAATTTGAGTAGGTCCCTATACATCAGGGGTTCCCAACCCCCCCAGGCCATGAAAGGTTGGCTGCTGGTCCACAGGAGGGCTGACTGCTGGACTGGAAGTGGCCATGGACTTACAGACCGCAAACTGGAAGCGACTGGCATACTGTGGACTGGTAGCCAACCCTTTTTTATACTGAATATAAAAAAGGGTTGGTTATCTGCCTGCAGTATGTTACTTCTGGTCCATGGCTTGCCAGTCCTCCACATAAAAAGGTTGGGAACCCTTGCTATACATAATATAGCAAGCTGGGCTGTGATTAATAACTTAGCAACCAAATGCAATACGAGGACAGGGAGTCCCTCCTTTGGACAGCAGTAACACAAACTAAGAGTTGCAGTCACCAAATTAACCCTTGTTCCTCCTGGAATATTGTACAAGTTTGAGTTCGCTTAAGTTGTTTCAGAAGTCAGGTTAGAAAGATTTCTCCCCTCCTCCCAATTACTAAGGGAAAAAAAGCACAACATAAAAGAACAAATGTAAATGTTCATATACAAAACTAACAAGATTATAGGTCAAATAACTTACAGGTATAAAAAAAATGAGAATGAAACTTGCAACAATAATTATCAAAACAAAAATCCAAAACTAGCAGTAAGCAAAATAGGAAAAATAAAGAAAACAGTAATGTCCCTAACAAGATTCTTAGTTCAAAAGGTACTTACTTTCAACCCTTCTCAAACTAGTACCAGCCAGCCTTGTAATACCAGAACTAACATAGGCGTCTGCTGATTTCACTTGCTCTATGTTATCTTCCATCCTTTCAGTGAGATAATCTTTAACTCATTATATTGGATTGCTTATTTCCACACAAGGCAAATTCCAGTTCCAGATCGTTTTTTAAACAAATCAACCTTCAAACAAAGATATATACTCCCAGCTAACATCCGCGGTAGCCACAAATATGTATTATAGCCAAATAAATGTCACTTGCAAATTAGCCTTGCAGCACAAATGTCCTTTCCCTTTACTACTGCCGAAACCCCATCTGAGCCATTAGGCATCTCTTTGAAATAATTATGTAAACAGGGCTGAATTCAATGTCATTCCTGAATTATGATGCCCATGCCAGCCCTTCCCAGTATTACATCAAAAGCAGAATCTACCCTTTCAAGACAGCTTTAGTCAGAAAGCTTGAAGAAGGAAGGTCCAATTTTACAGAAAGGGAACAACCTGAGTTCCTCCCACCCCATGCAGGAGGGAGCAATCAGCCCCCAGCAAAGAAAATGTAAGTACAAATGAAACCAGTGTCAAAGCACAGATAGAAAAACTAGTGCTTCAGAAATGCAAGAGAGAAAAATCTGGAATTGCAGGAGCACAAGAGGTACCTCTTAACAGAAGCGAAGGCAGGAACTAGGCCTGAAGAGAAGGTGGGATACTGATGGGATACAACTAGAGCCCAGACAGAATCCAAGGAGTAAGCAAGCAGCTAGAGGGTCAAAAGCTTGAAGTCTAGAGTGAAGTAGCTAAGAAGGATTATGAGGGGGAAAACCCTTAGCTAAGTAGGAGAAGCAAGGCTTGGGGCCTAGTAAAGGAATCTAGGAGAAGAAATTACCAGGACCCCAGGGAAAACAGATAACAAGGAACAATGTCCATGTCACTGAAAGACAGTGAATCCCACACAAGACCAGCCAAAACAAAGTGAAAATGGTATTTCCAAAGAGCATGTAAGGCAAGTGGAGATGGAATATCAGATAGACCGCATTTAAATACAAATTTACATTAAAAAGGACACTCAAGATATTCTAATTAATTAGAAAAGCAGCAATAATTTATAAACCCTTGGAATAACAGAATAAAAATATTTCCCTTCAAGATTTTCCCCTTTAAAATAAAACAATGTGTAATGAAAATTGATTATAATTGCTAATCTGAAGGAAATTCAATTAAAAAAAAAATCACAAGATTATTCTGTACTTTAAATGGATCAAATTTGGGGTTTTCCAATGCTGTCAGTTTCCTCACATCCTGCAGTAAAAGCTCACCATTCAAAGGTAGACTTGTTATAGAACTGTACTTTGTGGTTACACGTATCAGCAAGTTCCAGTAAACTGGATGCTTTCAAACTATGAACCCAATTCAGAATACAAGGAAAAATGCCTTATTTTTACAAAGTGCACAGAAAAGAAAAATATTTTCAGTGAGATGCATCAAATTTCTCTATTTTATCTGTTCAAAAAACAGCAAAATGTAAAAAAAAAATTAATAGTAAAACAATGAATATGATACAACCAAGTGACTGCCTCAAAAAATTGTTCTTGCAACTCTTTACCTCTGATTCTCGACCTACTAAACAGTAGAATTCACAGCTTGTTCTCACAGCATCAGAACCATATTTTAGATGGATGGGTGAGAAAGGAAACAGCTTCTTAAACTTCTTCCTGTACCCATGTACTGACCTCACTGACTAGGATCAGTGGTTCTTAACCAACCTGCCTATCTGTTCCAACAGCAGCTAGGTTCAACTGCCCTGTGCACTCCTGCATTAGGGCTCTCTGACAAGCCTAAAGCAGGCAGGAGAGCTGCCTCAAGCTCCAGCTCTTCCCAGGCTGGTCCCTGCTCCTCCCAGAAACAGAGGCATGTGGGACAGTTCCATTTGTCCTGTATGCCTCCGTTTCTGGGAGACACAGCATAGGCTCAGACGAGGAAGGGCCTGGATAGCAAGCTTGCTCTCCTGTCTGCTTTGGGCTTATCAAAGAGTCCTAAAGTCCGTGCATGTGCTATAGCCCCTTTCCGTCTAGCTGTGCAGCGGGCATGCAGGGCAGTTTTACCTGGAAGCAGCAGCAGCACCCAATTGCAAACCAATGAGGTAAGCTGAGCCTAGTGGTTCTCAACCAGAGAGGCAGCCACATTCAAAAAAACTTGTGGAGGGGTGTACTGACTCCAAAAAGCTTGAGAACCACTGGACTAGAGAAATAAAGAGAAGTGGAGCCAGGAATCTCATCTCAGCTTTCCCAGCCCCTCCCATAACCCTCCTGTCTGCAGCAACAAATGTTCCACCAATCAAAAATACCTAAGGATGGAGTTAAGGCACTGAGGAAGGATGGAGTCTGGCAATGAGTAATGAAACTGTCCCACTGATTTAGGCTGACAATGAGCAGAGGAGCTCAAGATGAATGACGGGCGAGAAAAGCAAAGCTTCTTCAAAGCAAGACTTTCAACCTGAAGACAAAGTCAGGATTCAGGTAGTACGAAGTGCTGACAATTGCAGTGGTTTTAAAATAACTTTTAAAAATTTCTTCTTTTGTACAGATGAATGATAGGAAAACTGATTATATTAATGAAATCATGAAGCCAACTAAATACATTACAAATTATCACATGCAGACAAGAAATGTAAAGAAAATCTATTTCTCTCTACTTTACTATGGAAATCAATAGAAAATGATCTTTCTTTTACCCAGTATTTAGTGTGGGGTAGTAGTACTCAAACTTAAAAGAAATGTTGGGCATATAATTGTAATTCCCAATACTTACAGCATACAAGTCAATAAAGGGTGGGGAAAACATTCATAAAAATCAGCGATCAGGAACATTCCTGGTGATAAACATTACTGGACTTTTATGATAAAGTAACCATTGTATGGCTGAATCTGTACAACTAGCAGCACAGAAACCTAACTGAAGATGGAATTGAGTAACTCACTGTAAATCTTGACACAGGTGCAGAAGGACAAAATAATGCAGACTGCAACTCCTCTAGCGTGGTCTGAAAGGATAGTTTCATAGTTTCTAGGGTCGGAAGGGACCTGAGAAGATCACCTAGTCCGACCCCCTGCCATGGCAGGAAAGAGTACTGGGGTCAAATGACCCCAGCAAGGTGTTCATCTAACCTC